GGTTTTGAATAATAAAGAAAAGTTAGTATACTTTTGAATCCAAAATATACCTGTTATGTCTGTCCTCCTTTATTTTCAGAAAGATACTTTTAAATTATTGATTTAATTATTAAAGTTTAATTAATTAAAGTTTAATATAAAATTAACTAAAATTTAATTTATTTAATTATAGTTTAATTAAAGTTTAATTAATTAATTACAATTTAATATAAAATTAATTAAAGTTTAATATTTAATATACTGTAAATTAATTAAAATTTAATTTTAAATTAATTAATTAAAGTTAAATTTAATAATAATTAATTTAATTAATTTAAAATCAATTAATGAAAAATTTTATTAATTTAAAAAAAAATTAAATAATTATATTATTATAAATATTAATATTTTATTTTATATTCAAATAATTAAAAAAATTTTTATATTAAATTACACTTATAGTATTAATTTAAAATATTCAAATTGTTAAATATATATATTGTCACAGATCAGGGGTCTATCAGCAGTAACGGCGAAATCCTAGACTTTGCGACACTTTGACAGGGGTATCTGTTATAACAGGGGGGAATTAAAGGCAAAAGGAGATGTAGATTTGGTGAGTTTGTGTGATTTGAGGGATTTTATTGATCAAAACAGTACAATAAGTAGGTCGATTTTAATATTCTTTTATTGACTAATTTTTTTGTCCCCTTTTTACTATATTTCCTTATATTATTTTTATACTTTTTCTTATAGCAAAAGAAAATAAAAAAAATAAAAGAAATAAAAGAAATAAAAGAAATAAAAGAAATAAAAGAAATAATGAAAATAAAAGAAATAATGAGGTTGAGAGTCGATTACCCATTTTGGCAACTTCTATAATGCGTGATCATTGTTTTCTCAATTTCTAAGCCATATTGTCGATTATTATTTCTCTGTAACAGTTCCTCTCTTTCTTAATTGCAAGTTCCACAAGCAAACCCTTTTACTCGACTAAAACTTAATACTCTTACGTACTCAATCGCTTAATCTTATTAAAGGTAATGTATTCGATCCAATAGATCTACTCTATTCCCTATCATTGGAATAGATAGTAGATCCACAAACTTTCTAGGCAATAATATAAGGTAAGACAATTCCATGGTCCCGTTTCCTCTACCAACTGATCCAAATAATATGCCATTATTAACGTTTCAGTCCACTGACCCAGGTAAGTTGCCCTCCTTAAGCATAACAAGATCCTAGTGACTTTCTTCTCGTACGTTTCCCAGGCGTTATAGGGTGATGGTGTAACGTTCACATATGTGGGTTCTGTTGTCAACAAATTTGTTATTATCTTGATGACTTTTTTGGACATCCTTCTAGATTAGTTTTGAACTGGAGGAGAGAAAATAAAACAAAGAAAGAGAAAAAAACAGAATTGCACGAAACCAAAAACTATCCTATTTATATTTGTAAAAAAAATAAAATCACTAAATAAAATAACTATTTGAATTGATCAAACTGATCAAAAACATCTCTTTTTTTTTTCCATTATTTTTTTTTTATCCCTGCATGGTAATTTTGTTTTCTTCAGTAAGTATTGTTTTTCGTTCGTGATACAATTTCAACAGCTGATAATTAACGGATCATCGAAACATGTTTTCTTCTATTGTTTGAAGACGGTATATCCCTTTGGTCATACTTTGTAGACAAAAAAGAGTTCCTCTCACTTATTATCCAGTTTGTGATTTAGGGAGTGAATAAGATAGGCACGATAAAATAACACTTTGTCTCCTATCGCAAAACTCTGGCTAGATTTGAGTCATTGGTTATGTCATATCTTATTTCACTGTTGCATTTGCTCAATCTGCATGACAGTGTTATTTCGTTCTTGGGGAACAACGTTAATAAGGTCAAACAATCATTTTAAAATAGTATCATCAAAAATGTCATTATCCAGGGTTATTGGTGTACGTGCTTTCCTGCTGTATACCAAATAGAATAGCATCACTCTAGTCATAGCCTGATGAGCTGTCCAGTATGCAAACAATACAGATGGTATCATAAGATCCCAATCTCTAACATCATTTATAGTTTTGACCAATGATTTGCATAATGTTCTGTTAAATTGCTCTACTAGTCCATTTGTCTGTGAGTAATATGTGGTAAAATATAGATGTGCAACTTGAATTTTTAACAAAAACGTATTAAGCATTCAGCTTCTAAAATTTGTATCTTGATTAAATAACAGGTAACTAGAACATTCATGACAACACACTATATCATTGTAAATAAAATTAGCAATACTTCGAGCAGTCACGTTTTTTACGGCCCTGGCTTCTGGCCATCTGATCATATAATTAGTAGCAACGATGATATATCGTTTATCTCGCAGGGTTACAGACAGAGGACCAACTACGTCGATGCCTATCTTATAGAATGGAGCCTCCACAGGTATTGGATGTAAAGGTTGTTATGCTCAATTCTTTCCTCGTCATTAACACTAATCGCATATATGTACGTATACCCTGATATCTTCATATAGTTGTGGCCAATAGTATAGGTCTCATATTTTCTTAAATATAATGTCTTTACCAAAATGTCCTCCTAATGGATGCATGTGCGTTAAATACAATATCAGTTTTAACTCATTTTGTTGTAGTACTCATAATAGTCAACCTGGTTGGTATTTGTCTTTCTTGTATAATAATCCATTCTTTTGTACAAAAAAAATTACTTTGCATCTGTAATCGTCATGTCAGTTGTGGTGTGGCATTCGTGAGTAGTCATTGTTTCCATAGATAATTAAGCAGTTGTTGATAGTTATTGGATTCTATGATTTTTTTTTTTTTTTCACATTAGGACACTGGTACCTGGACTGGATTCTGTTCCTCAAATTTTTCTTTTTTTCTCTTTTTTTTTTGAATCAATTAGTGGGCAATAGGACCTGGTGCCATCATTACTTGTTTCTTCATAATGCTTTTAATTACATTGTTGTTACTACATTTCTCACTTCCTTTCTTCGCTCAAGATAATACATCCACATTGATATGTTTCTCACCAGCATGATGTACAATTATATAGTTATATGGTTGGAGTCACAAAATCCATCATGCTCTCTGTCTCTTTAGTTTAGATGTTTCGAACCACTTTAGTACAAAATGATTTGTAACCACTATGAAGGATTTCATGCCGAAGTAATAATAGAAATATTCAATTCCCCAAATTACTACTAAGTATTTTAATTCTGTTGCTGCATAGTTTCGCTCAGGTCTAGTCAACCCTTGGCTCGCATATGCGACTATATATTCGTTTTTCTTGTCATCAATTTATGACAATATAGTACCCAATCCTGTTCCCAAGGCATTCATATATAAGTAGAACATTTGATAAAAGTTGGGGATTTGAGGATTGGTACCAAAATCAGATGTCTTTTCAAAATTTTGAAAGTATTTTGTTGGTCTTTTTTCCATTTGTACGGTATGCTCTTTTCTAATAGTAGGTGTAGAGGTTTCGCAATGCTAAAGAAATTCTTTATAAACCTCTGATAATACGAAGCAAGTCCTATAAATCCTCTTAACTGTCTTAAATTTCAGGAGGTCGAAAAATTCTTTACTTTTTCTATATTCTCTAAATTTGGTTGGATACCATCCCTTTCTACAATGTGACCTAGAAATCCCATATTCGATAAAAAGAAACTACACTTCTTAGAGTTCAGTTTCAGCGAGTCTTTCCTTAGTTCTTCGAAAACTCATGATAAATGCTCCAGGTGTTCTTCGTAAGTACGTGAATAGACAATAATGTCATCTAGATATATGGCAACAAATCGTTCTATACACTTATATAAAACCATATTCATAAGCTGTTGAAAAGTGGCCAGTGCATTACATAACCCGAATAGCATAACCTTAAACTCGTAGGTGCCAAATTTTGTTACAAATGCAATCTTCTCGTGGTCATTTTCATGTACTCATACTTGCCAATATCCACTGGTGAGATCTAGATTAGAGAACCAGCTAGCTTGTCCTAACATTTCTAGCAAATCGTTGATTTGTGGTAATGGGTATGTATTCTTCTTTGTTACTACATTCAATTTCCTGTAATCAACACATAGTCACTTCGCTTCATTCTTTTTTGGTATGATAACTATAGAGGAAGACCAAGGGCTAATGGATTCCTGTATTAGGCCTTGTTCCTTTATTTTCTTTAATTCTTCTCGAACATAATCATATTTGTCTGGCGCTATTTAATAGGGGCTTGCTTAATCAGTTTTGCATCTCCTGTGTCGATAATATGGTGAATGACATCAGTTTGAGTTAACTCCGTAATATCCTTTACAAAAAAATTCTTTTCTTTTTCAAAGAATTTCATGGCTTCTTTTTGTTCTTCCTTCGTTAAGTGAATGTCAATATTTTGCTTTGGGGTTCCTTTGTCATTTCAATATTCGTCATGATCTTCATTATGGGTAGGTATCTTTTCAAGAGTTGTCATATATATTGCCAGACTCTGTATATTTTCTCATGGGTTCTTATACAGTTCTCTATCCAATCATTTTTTCATATAGTACTCTTCCTTTTCTTCTAATTCTTTACTTTCGTACTCAAATTTATCACATATGTCAGGATCTTTGTCACTTATATCTGTCTCTTCTGATGTCTGCAAGAATGTCATGTCATTGTGTGAAATTGGGATTTTTGTGGATTGGCCTTGATACTTAAAGTACAGTTTCTGTTCATCGGAATGAATCCTTGCATTTGCCTTCTGAAACCAATTTGTTCGCAACAAAAGGATTTCATCTCTGGATTCGATAACTTGAAAGGTCATTGGAATGGTAATTTTTTTAATTATAACGTTGACATTTCTAATCTTTCCTAGAGTCCTTTCTCTAGTCCCATTGGCTGTAATAATGATAGTTGTAGATTTCTTCTCAATTCACATCTGCAGACGGTCTAAAAGTTTTTTTGAAATAATACTTATGGCAGCACCTGAATCTAATACAACTATAATCGGTTTTCCCTCGATTTTTGTGTAATATTTCACAGCAGTGGTTCTGCAGGTACTAGCGGATGGTACGTGATAAGTTTCAAGTATAGCTGCGGGTCGTCATAAGAGCTTTGCTAAGTTTCTTTGCTGGTTTGGATATTGTAACATTTGTCTTATTGTCATAGTGGCAGGTAAAGCTAAGATATCATCTGCTACATCATAAGGATCTAGGGAATCAATTACTGATGGCTTTTTTTTCCTTTTCACTTTCTTCACCAGTGACTCCTCTTCTATAGGTTGAGTATTTATCCCCATCAGTTCCACCAGATTAACAACTCTCCTAATCTTGGGTACATAATTCAATTCATCCAAGCTACTTTCCGGCTTGTGCTTAGATCTCCCTCTTCTAGTGAATATGGTGCCTCCCACAACATAAGCTTTCATGTCACCCTCTTCTTCTGATTGCCATTTACAATAGTAAACATTTGGTGTAGGATTCTTAGCTATAGGTGCTGCTGATACTGGTGATACATTTTTGGGACATTCATGGGAATAGTGCCCATCCCTTCCACAGCAGTAACATCTTACAATCCTTGGTGCATTTCTCTGTCTGGGGAAGCATTTCTTCTGAATATATTTCGAGCGGCTAGTGCAGCATAATTCAGAGGCATTTTTTGCACTTGCTTTGTCAAACCTTTTATTTCTTCATGTATTTGATCTATATAACTTTCCATTGCCTTGTATTTTTGTTGTCCATAGTAGTTTCTTGCTTCAACTCTTCGGGCAGCTATAATTGCTTCCGTTAATATTGTAAGAGTGGTAACTGTGACAAAGGTGGCAGTATTACTCTTGAGGCCTTTTAGGAACATGCTTACTATATAGTCCCCAGGAATTTTTTCTTCAGGATCTACTCGAGATAAGAGTTGCTTAAACTTGGCAATATAGGTATTGTAATTAAATAAATAACTTAGTTTTATTTTTACTTATTTTTATCGAATTATTATTAGTTTATTTTTAGCAGTAGAATTTATTATTTTATTATAGTATAAATATCTATTTATAGCATGTGTGATATAGATCAGACAGCCTAGAAGATCCAAACAGCCCGGAAGGCCCAGAAGACCTACAAGGCCTATGATCTATGAAACTATGACATTGTGACATGTAGATCAGGCAGCCTAGACAGCCCAGGCAGTCCAGATAACTTAGGATAGAAAACAGTATATAAGTAGCTGCCATCCATATAATTTTTAATCAGTTTCTGATAACTTACTCCTATAACTGTTGAAATTTCTGACTTGGTGTCATAATAAAATATTATATTTTATTAAACACATTTTGATTACAAAGATTCATTGGGGAATCTTTGCCATACCTTGAAATATTTGTGAGAGATTATCTCTGAAATGACGAACTGTTCTTTATAATCTCTAATTCCTTCTAAAAATGACCACTCGAATATGGATCAAATGGATTTTGATCACATTTTTGGTGATGACAACAGGACAGTTGCCTTGAAGGAATGGATAATTTGGAAAACTGAAGAAATATTGTCATCTGGAAGAAACAACTATTTGGAAAATTGAAAAAAGGACAGTTTTCTTGAAGGATCTATCAATTAAAAGAATTGTATAAGCAACACACATCAGGATTGGACAACACCATGAGTACCATAAACATCAAGATATTTTTCTGTCACCTGCTCTTATCTTAATATCAGCTCTTCATTGGAATCAAATGAAAACAACCTGACCATACCTGAAAATAATTCTACCATATCTGAGCAAAGCTTAAGTACATGACTTGCTCAATTAATAGATCGAAACAACCAGAGAGAATATTCATTTGGACTTGGACTGACATCTATACAACAAATAAGGAATAACAGTACCAGTAATAGGCAGTTACTATCAATGTTACGACAAAGAGAGGAACAATCATATTGGAGAAATAGCTTCCAAAATGAGAAGAATGATCAAAACCAATAGAAGGAGAATTGTCAAAGCAATAGAGAGAACCATAGTGATAAAGAGGCGCAAATGAGTCATGTCAGTAATAAACTACCAGGACAGAATCCAGAGGAAGATTTGACCATGATGTTACAAAACTTGGATCGAACCATGCAACAAGTGAGGTTTCAAACTGGAATAAAGGAAACTTATCTGGTACCACTACCTACTTTTGAAAGAGGAAAACAAGACCTATTAGCTTGGCTATATAGCTTCCATAATGCTTGTATAGCAAACAATATGATAGAGAAATGACGATTGGATCTTCTTCCAGTTTACTTGAAAGGAATTGCTTATACTTGGTAAATGGAAATAGGACAATGTATTAACTTGTGGAACAGCAATACATACCCTGACCGATTATTTACTTATTGCTTCTGTCGCAAATGATGTACTCCTCATCAAAAGTCAAGATAAATGAACCAATTAAGGAACTGAACCCAAAAACCTGGAGAAACTGTCGATGAATATTGGGATGTGATTATAGCCTTATACTATCAAGTAGATCCGAATGGAGAATATCTGGCAGATGATAAATTACAACAATTTGTTAGTGGATTAAGAAATGAAATCAGAGGACCAGTGAAAATATCTATTCCTGCTAATATGGAGGAAGCCCTCAACTGAGCATGAGCAGTGGAATCAATTTTGTCTAGGCATGCTCCATTAAGTGCCTATTCAATGCTCCCAGGCTCCAATAACACTAGTTATGAATTACAGGATATCTGAATGGCATTAACATAATTGACGCAAGGATTTCAACAACTGGCCACTCAACAAACCTCAAAAAAAAATGCTGGAAACAATAATAATTCAAGGGAAACACACACTTGTAATAAATATGGAAGAAGAGGACATATCACTATCAATTGCAGATCTTATTAGTCTAATAATTCAAGGAATAACAATAATAATAATAGAAGATCAAATTACAATAACAATAGCAATCAAGAAAATAGAAATTGCTTTATTTGTAACAAACCTGAACATTTCGCAAAAAATTGTCCTCAGTGCAATTAACAACAGTCACCAAATCAAATGGATAACAATTGTAACCAATGAATTAATACGTCAATAGAAGACTTTTTGAAGATCGCTAAACAAGTCAAGGAGTCTTTAAACTAATAAAGATACCTCTGGAGAGTGAGCGTACCTCTTTACTAACAAATCCCTCAAATGAAAAGAAAAAGGCTGTTGATGTGATACATTGTGAAGCCCAATTGGATAGATAACTGATATATCTTATGATTGATACTGGATCTATAGGAAGCTTAATTTCAAAAACTTTCTTGGATAAATTGGGACAAACAATTAATGAACCATTTAAGGTTAACCTAATGAATTTTAATGGAGGAAAATAATGTTCCTTGGGAAAAGTGAAGGATTTACCAATAACTATCAAGGGAATAACAATACCAATTGATGTGGATATGTTTGAGGCAACAACTTATACTGTTATCATAGAAAATGATTGGTTAACAAAAACAAATGAAGTCATAGATTTTAATCATGGAATAATGGAATTATATTATAATGGACAAAAACTTTGCTATGAAATCTCTTGTTGGGAAAAACCAAAATATGATGACTTGGGCAATGCAATTAAAAAGGAAATAATACCACTGGAACCAGAGGAGCCTGAATACAAATTGAAGGAGGGACTGGAGGACAAACAATACTGTGCTATTATAGGAAACTCGGATGAAAAACCATTAATGCAAATCAACGATCAGACTATTATAATTGAAAACAAGAAGGAACCGATCGAATATATACAGGAATTGAGGAACTTAAATCAACCAATCGTGGAAAGCAAAACTAGATCACATGATTGGAAGGGACTGAGCGCTATTTATGGATGGGATAATTACTTGAAGGACAAGGAGAAAATATGTATAACTTGTTAACAAAAATTTGAAGATTTGAAACTTATCCAGTATATGAACCAGGAATACGAGAAAATAAATATAAAGGAACTACCTGACCTGAATACAATCCAACAACAGCAATTGAATTATCTCTTGGAAGAGTATCAGAATGTCATAGCCATGGATGATAATCCACCTGGATGAACTAACTTAGTAACACACTCCATTGTTACTGAAAATATTCTAACAATTAAGCAGAGCACATATCGTTTATTACCAGCTGAATATGAATTTGTTGGAAAAGAAATCAATCAAATAATACAACAAAATATTATTTGACCATCATCTAGTCCTTGGGCATCATTAATTGTCTTAGTTAAAAAGAAAAATGGAAAAATAAGATTTTGTGTTGATTATCGGAAGTTGAACAAAATAATCAAAAAAGATGCATATCCCTTACCAAGGATTGATGAAATATTGGATTCATTAGAAAAAGCAAAATGGTTCTCATCACTGGATTTGATAAACAGATACTGGCAAGTGGAAATAAATGAAATGGATAAGGAAAAAACTGCATTCATTACCAAACAAGGAATCTTTGAATTTAATGTCATGCCCTTTGGATTAACAAATGCACCTGCCATCTTTTAACAATTGATAGATAGCATCTTTTATAATATCAAGGATAAATATGTATTAGTATATTTGGATGACATTAATGTTCATTCTAATACATTTGAAGAGCATATACAACACCTTACCGAGATTTTGAAAAAATTCCGGCAGGCCAATCTCAAAATCAATTTGGAAACATGTTATTTCTACAAAAAGGAACTGGCATTTTTGGGACATATAGTTAATAAAAAGGGAATTTAACTGAATCCTAGCAAGATTGAAAAGATTAAAAACTTTCCAGTACCAACAAATATTACTGAATTGAGAGAATTTATTGGATTAGACTCATACTATTGCCATTTTATCAAAGATTTTGCTTCAATTGTAGAACCAATACATCAATTAATGAGGAAAAATATACCCTATATTTGGAATAATGATTGTCAAAAAGCATTTGAACTCCTTAAGAAAAAATTAACCACTGCACTAATTTTAATTTATTCGGATTTCACCAAACCATTTATCCTATACACTGATGCTTCTTATCTGGAATTAGGAGCAATCTTAGCACAGAAGTATAATGAAGAAAATGAACATGTAGTTGCCTATACAAGCTGAAGTTTAGTTGGAACTGAATATAATTATTCACCAACTGAAATTAAATGTCTTGCCACCATATGGGCAATGAAATACTTCTAATCCTATATCTATTTAATGGATTTTATATTAGTAACCGATCATGTAGCATTACAATAGATAATGAATAACCCAAACCCGACAAAATGAATAACTCGATAGATTCTTACTATTATCAACTACCCTTTCAGATTCAATATTGCAAAAGCAAAAAACATCAAAATGTTGATACACTATCACGCATACCCAAACCTATAATCAAATAATCATGGATTTAGAAACTTATCAATAGCTGTTTCAATATCTAATAGATAGAACTCTACCAATACACCTGGACAACAAACAACAGATAACTCTTAAAAAACAAGCAACATATTATTTGATACAATCATATCAACTTTTTTGACGAAACACTAAGAATCCAACTAAACCTTTATAAGTCATTAAGGCAACTGAGCTGGAATCAGTTTTGCATAATTTGCATAAGAATATTTTATCTGGACATTTTGGAATCAAGG